TCTTTATGTCTAAATGCAACAATTACTTAATGTTCTTTTTACCTGGGCAGCAGTTTTTTTTCACACATGGTTCAGTTTGAACAGTTCCTAGATTCTTAGGGTCTGAGCAATCACCATTTCCGGAACAAGAGCGTCGCCTTTGCCTTACTCCCTCTGTACAACTCACCGAGCACTCGCCCCAGGAAGACCACAGAGTCCATGTTGCTGGCCTGGAGGTCAACACACAAGACTCTTCTAGAGGATATGGGCGTCATTTGATCTCATTCGTTTGAGATCAGCTGAGATTCAGTAGCTTGAAGTCTTAGATTAAAGTCCCCATTAAATTTTATGGAATATTGCAGTACCTGCCAGCGTTTTAAATAATACATAAACATGAAATTCTGAGAAATAAACTCACAATTGCGAGTTATAAAGTCAGAATTGTGAGAAATAAACTTAAATGTATAACACGCAATTGTGAGTTTATATCTTGCAATTCTGACTTTATAACACGCAAAACTCTCCAAAATTTATCCGTAAAAAGTGCATTATGATTTAAAAAGGTTTCCTCAAAAAAATGTTAACGTTGCATTATTTTAAGTTGCAATGAAACAGAAGTACAGATCTCTGCCGTATTGTGACGTACATTTTGTGACAGATTGTCAAAAAAGGTTGTCGGTTGGATTTTAAATTGAAAGCTTACAGTTCATTGTGAATGGGCTGGGATTAAGTCAATTTAATGATACATAAGTTAATGATCCCCCAGAGAGAAGTTATTGTCAGTGTCATATTCACTGGAAGATCAAGTGACATTATGATTAACATCCAAAAAGTAAAAATTAAAACATAAATGAAACAGACATGGATGAACCGTTAACAATAAAATCTACATGCATTTACAAAATTGATGGGGTGAATTTTCATTTAATGTCATTTAATTTAGGCTAATATGAAAATGTATGCAGCGTTACTTTCTTTGTGGAATGAACGGTTTTATGAATGAACAATGAACCAATGTGTTAGGAAATAGTTCTCCCATCTTAAGATCATCATCTGGAGTTTTTCTCTCCATTGAAGCTCAATGTGGCATTTATCATAATAGGATTTTGAACATGAACATCATAAGCATCATATCAATGAAACTTACCCACAGGACCTACACACACCATCTGCCTCTGTGTAGCCATAGTTAGGGTTCAGGCAACATAAGTCTTTTTCAACCTGACCCAACAGACCATCACATTTCCCAGTGGATACCAAAAATGATGAGTAACATGATATCTGTGAAACTTCAGAAAGACACCAAATGAATTAATGACAATTAGGGTATAATACAACTTACTACACATATTGTCTGCTATCTGTTATGGCACATAATGGCATTATATTCAAACAATTAGCTTGATTCAGCTGTTTCAGAGATTACATTTTGATTCTGATTCACAAACACACTGAAGTTACACAAAGTGAATTTAGTATTCGGTACAAAGGGAAAATTTAGTCAGCAAGCCATATTATTTCTTAATATTCATTTACATATTACTACATATTTATATATAGTCACAAAATTCTCCAAACCTGATTGCTGGGGATAAGTCCCAAGTAGCACAATCACCCACAAGATCAGATTCATGGCTGAATCTGTGTGACAGAAATTATTGATTCTGAATGTGGAAAGTCTTGTAAAATACACTGGCTATTAGCAAAATGTTATCGGCAATTGTTGTTTGCAGTTTTTTTTTTACTAATATGACAAGTCAATATGCAAACAATAAATGTGGTTGTGGGTATTGATTAATAACGTTGATCAAACAAATCTTTAAAGGTAAAAAGTTAATAGTAAGCTCAAATGTAAAAGTTCATACATTATAAATTCACTATTTTAACCACTTACCTCACACACTTCCCTTTCTTATGCAGTTAAGAGGCAGTAAAGGCGAGTGGTTTCGCCTTGCCTCAGTGACTTTCAAAAACCAGAGACCTGTTTACGAAAACAGGAATTATTAATTGTGAAACTGCTTAACAGTTTCCCTTATTCGAGTATGATTTTGCAGATTCATCAGCATTTACCTGCTGTAAAAGAATTAAAGTAGTTTCAGTTCAACTTCCACCATCCTTTCAGCATTTCAGCACAACTGTCACATACGGTCAAAAGGTTTCTCTGGCCTCCTTTACACTGCAGGTCTTGATGCCCAATTCTGATTTGTTGCCTATATCCGATTTTTTTAACTGTCTGTTTACACGTTCTTTAAATTGTGACCCGCCATATCCGATTCATGTGTTTACACTTGCCATATAGGCTACTGTTTCTTCAAATGTATAACCCCCACAAGGCCCACATGCATCTGTATATTTTGGTTAAAAGCCAAATACTGAAATCAAGTTTTAATGCAAAATATGTGCAAGGCTACGGGGTGATCGGTCAAGAACGTAAGACCTCCGCAGACCTAAAGCCCATTTACATTTATGATTATTATGTAAATATAGCAAATGTAAAAGATAATTAAAAAACATATTTAGTCGTTTGCCAAAACGTTATTTTTTTTTTTTAGCTTATAGGCTTGGGCCTTAAAAACATATTTTTCCACTAGGCTATAGCATCTAATTAGCCTATTTGGGGAAGGCAGAAGTGCTACTTTGTCCTCGGGTTTCCTCTCGAAGTGCAGAGGAAGAAAGCACATTGGTTTTTTTTATGTTTGAATGAATCAAGAACAAACAAACCATCACAGCCACGCACAAAAAGAGAAAGAAAAAGACTGCTATACCAAATGAAAGCTGAAAGTTTTTTCTCTTGAGCAGCATATTGCGCAAGCCACTTTTTGTCTTTTTTATGCATTGTGAAATCATTTGTTTTCTTAGCGGTTATGCGCTAAAATAGGGTGACCGCAGTCTTCTCAGGACATGTTCTGACATGTTTTCACGTCCTGTCCTGGCAGTAGCCTACGGCATGGCTGTTTTTATAAAGTGTTGAAAATGTCCTGATTTTCAAAAACTGCTGGGAAAGATCAGCTCTATACAGCAAAAGATGGGCAAACCAAGATAAAGAGGAAGAAAACTAAAGATATAAATATATTTTTGTTAGTTCGTTTTTGTAAGTTTGTGAGCTACTTTTGTTCAATTTGGAGGTATTTCTTTTAGTTATTTATTATTTATATATTTATTTTTCTAATACAGAACAGACATTATTTCTATCATTATTTCATTCATTATTTTTTAAACCTGTCATAATAAAACATGTTGAGTAACCCCTGAGAAGCCTATTTGAATTTGTGTCTTGTATAGCCTAACAATTTTTTTATCCATACAGAGGAGGCATGGCCTACTTTAAATGTACTGAAATTAATAAGGCATCTTTGAGTAAATTTGAGTATCATTTGAGTATCTGTTGCCGGGCCGAGTGTCCTGGTTTTTGTTAATCAAAATATGGTTACCCTACACTAAAATAGCCTATAGCACCACAAATTTCAGCCCCATTGCATGATATGACGTTAAATGTTTAAGCTAATTTGATTATTTATGTAACTAAGACGTTACATAATGTACTTTAAGAAGCCTATAGCATATATATATATATATATATATATATACTCTTTAATGTCTGTATGATATCTGAATGCAGTAACAGAGCTTGCTCATTTAGCCCGGCTTCCAGAAATGAAATATCGATTTGTTTTGTGTTTGAGAAAGGTCTCCAAAGTGTTGAAACATAAAGATGTCATTGAAGCCAATAGTCTAGGGACCATTTCTTTGGTAAACGCCTTGCTTTCCAGTAACTTTCCAGTTACTAAAGTTTACCTATCCTTGAGAGAAAGAAGTCATTATCTTGATGTTTTGAGACGACTCTCCTGTTTATAGTTAGAGCCTGGCCAAATCCAACCTTGGAAAAGCAGTGTGTCGCTGTGTGTGTTAGTCTTCTTGTTTGCAGGTTAAGGAACCGGCATTATTGGAGATGGACTGAGTTGTTGTTCTGGACATGCTGGTGGTACCCAGCAACCCAAATCTGCGACCTTGAAGGTCATGACGAGCCTCTGAGTCTCAGCTGCATAATCGATGGATATATGCTTCCGTCTATCTGCATATGTGTGGAAAATTACTGTGTTTATCTATTTCTTAGCCAATGAGAATCATTCAACGTGTAAGCAATGACATAGCTTAGACTCAACTGTGATCCTTGTAACTGTTAGAGGCGGCCTACGAACTCCTGTGTGAGTCTTGAAGCTGACTTCTGCTGATGAAACTGCAAACTACATTCAGTAAAACTTTTCTTTCTTTATTTTTTTATTACGAACGAACATGGACATCCAGGTAACTCTTCTTGATGCACGATCACCTAACTATTTCAAACCATCAGTTTGATCAAGTCCATCGACTCCTGTCTAATGGCCCCATCTACAGGAGCACTTTGGAACTACGATCGTATTAATACATTGAATTGAACTTATTTGTTAATTTTACTCATAAAATACTGCCTAAATTTAATTAATCTGCATAAACATACAACTTTTATTATAAGTAATTTTTCAGTAGTTGAGAGCACAGTCACAGGAAATAACATTTATGATTCATAGAGCGTTATTAATTATTATTGAATCTAGCCACCTTGTATTATTTGGTAGCATTCACGCCATGCTTTTTCGTAACTGTCAACCACATAAACGCCTGTAATACCCATAGACGGTAATGCCAAGGAAAACATAGTCCCCTGACTATTAAACCTCTTATAATCGAGCTGTCATTGGACAAACAAATATCACCTCATTAGGTCATACGTCAAAGGAACATGTTGCACTCAAGTGGATTTTTCTACGCGTATTAAATATATAAAATTACATTTTGAATACTGTGGAATTTTGAGTACTAAATGTCAGTGGTCAAAAGAGTTCGATGTTTTGCTCCTTATTGATTAGTGAGTGAGTGACATCGTGGACTACTTTGGGCCGAGGAGCGACCCCTGCAGGTAAATATTATATACACGTGGATCTTTTCTAGTTCATTTATTTCTGTCATCCCTGACAACCGAGTAATCAAAGTGAATGGAGTTCCTAGACCAGATTGAGCAAAAGTGTAGGAATACAGCTCGATGGTCATAGCTTCATCCGTATTCTGATTTGATTTTAGAAAAATGGATATAACAAGATATGAAACGAACCGCCTGTTATTTTAAACTTAGCCCTATTCATAGTAGCAATTGTTTGACCTGGAGAAATTTGAAAGCGTGTAACGTTACAACAAAATAAAAAAAAAACATGTTAGCGTTAAGCTAGCTAGTGCTAACCTCGGACTAGCATGTGGAATAGTAGACACGGGGACACAGTGATGACAAAACTGATGTAAACCGACGGACTATGGGCTCATTTGAGTCTCAAAACAACTTAACTTCACGTAAGAAGAGTTTATTTCTATTTGATCGACCGTTGGGAAACTTCGAACCTGGCCCGTAAACAACAAGGTAAACCAAAACAGCTAACTTAGTTAGCCAAAGCTCGCTGTTTTTCTGAAGTAAAGTCTCGTGTGTACTTTATCTGATTAACGTTATTAGCAAACTATATGTGTCCATATTAATAAATGTATGTTGTAGTCTGTTCTGTGCAAGGCAGATTTGGTGTGTCTGTCAGGCTCTATCTGGCTAACGTTAGATGCATGGCTATTTTGGATTGTGTCAACACACATTTGTTAAGGTTAATCAGCAGTGGGTTTCATCTAATTCATTGTATCTTGATTATTTTTAATTTCTCCACGTGCATTACATGTAAGCTTTGCTGCCTCGGCTAAGCGTTGTTCATAACTTAAATTAAATTTAAACCGCTAACTATTAACACACAGTAAGCCCAGGAATGGATTAGTCAGCACATGCAACATAGAAAAGTTGTTTGTTTGTTTTTTTAAACTAAAACGTTTTTGCTTGCAAATATTAAAAAAATGGTGACTGGCAAATTAAAACTAACCAAGTTACATATCATTATAGGAACATTAGCAATTGCTTGCAGTACTGATTTCTGGATTAAACTGACACCATCACGTTTAAGAGATTAAAGTAAGTTTTGAGGAAGCTTTTTGTATTGTTAAGTGTTTATTATACTGCTTAGAAAAAGTGAAAATTTTGTTTTTTTCTATTTGAAAGGCTCTTTGTAGAAGTATGAAGTGTGACCTTACGCAGAACACAGACTGCATACTTTCACTCTGATTGCAAAGTTAAAGTTTTTACAATATTGGTAAATATCAACTGTCTGGTCATGGTCAGCAGTTGTTTTGTACATCTTGTCATAATGCATTTTGTTGTGCCTTGAGTTTTTTTTTTTTCTTTTTTCCTACCTTTTATTTTTAAGGCAAGACTCCATAACCTAATAGATATCACCATACATCTTTAATTTTGTGAATAATAATGTTTTTTTACATAGGGGACTTTACCTCTTTTTACAATACATAAAATCAGAAAATGTCAGTAAGGAAAGGAAAACGGTAAGGAGTGAGGAAAACATTTTTACCATATTTTGAGGAATAAAGTGATGTATAAATCAGGCGAATGATAAAAAACCTTCAGAATATAGATGGGAATAATACTGAAGGTTTGTATACTGAAGTTGAGACTACTGGCTCAGTGAATTGAAATCTTGCAAATTGATAAAGTGTAATAAAATAAACTCTTAAATGTGTATTTTAAAATATTTTCTTTCCAATAGTCTAAAAGAAGGCGCTATTATGGAAGCAAATTAGTCCAACATCTCAAAATTGAGCAGTGCATGGGCGAAAAAATAAAAAACAACAATTTGGTTTTGCTTGTAGTGTCTTCCCTTAAACGCAAAGCAATTGAGAGATCCAGAGGCTGGTATGTGTGTCTGTCATATCCTCCGCACACTGACTCATTTAGTTCCTCTGTGTGGGTCGCCACTTGTTTTCAACCTTGGTACAATGCAGATAAGCTGAAAACCAGAACGACAGGTTGAATGCTGACAAGTCTGAACACTGGCTCAAAGCATTTCTGATCGCTTCATTTACTGTGCATCTTTCCCATGTTACCCAACTGGGATCTTACTAAATTACTTTGTCTTTGTTTCGGGCTAGTCACATAGATGTAGCTACTGCGTAATCCTCTTGTCAGAATCCACGGATTACAGTCTGTTTGGTAGTGGTTTCCATCCTCTGTATGACCCTCACTTCTGTTATCTTTGTCTGCCTTGCTGAATGCTAGACATGGACATGACCTTATTTACCCGAAGTCGAATAGCGTTGTCCCTCATGTCATTCCAAACCTGTATGACTGACTTTCTTCTGTGGGGAGTTTCTTTTGTCCATACTATGAAAGTCAATGGGGTTCAATGTTGTTTGAACTCCAATTTCTTTTTGTGTGTTCCCCAGAAAGTTTAGCAGGAGATGAGGCTGAGTAAATGATGACAGGACTTTCATTTTTAGGTGTACTACGCCGTTAAGACATTTTATTACTTGGTAAGTAGAGTACACTGTCGGAAGCAATCGGAAGCAACGCATTATTTCTTGACCTTTGTATTGACTGATTTTTTTTTTTATTCTGTTTGCTCATGCAAATAGGTCTTTCGCCATTGATACACCATTCTCATTCAGTCTCTTGATTATATAAGTTTTGAACAACCACATTTTTTATATATATATTTGTCATAACATCTTCCTACAGGAGCTTTCTTCACAAGGTTATCTTATCTTTTTAAGTAAACAACCTAGTAGTCTCTCATAATGGATTTATCACCTCTCACTCTATGTAGACTAAATATACCACAGACCTGTAACTGCTGACTGTACAGTTTGCGACTGCATGGTCTGACTGCTTCAAAAAGATAAAGGTCAAGTATTCGGAAGTGGTGAATGAATGAAAAGCCAGGTAGTTAAGACAAAAGCTGCTTTCTTTTTTTCTACGTTTATGGATTAGCTTTTCATAAAAAGGTTTGAGCCAGCCCTAAAACAGTAACAGCAACTGTAACTGCCCACTTTTTCACTGGCCTTGGTTATGCATTTTCCCATGAATTTGTTTTCATAGGCATTTAATAAAGCTCAATGACATGAACCGAACCAACCAACACTGAGATAACAGATTAAAACTTATATTTGAAGCAATAAGAAAGAACTAAATTAAATTCAAGGTAATTACAAGTCTTTTATGAGGGTGTGAACTACTCATTGAAGCTGCAAATATTGTAGTTATAATCATATAAGCTACAATTCAAAAGTTCTGGGCTCAGTAAGGTTTTTAATTAGTTTTTTTATTTTTATTGAATGTGTCTTATGTGTCACTACGGCTGTGTATTTGATCCAAAACACATTAAAAAACAGCAATGTTGTGAAATTGCAGTTTAAATATTTCAAATGTGATTTATGGTGATGGCAAATCTGAATTTTCAGTCTTCAGTGTCACATGATCCTTTGGAAATCATTCTAATATTCTGATTTGGTGCATAGAACATTTATTATTATTATACTCTGCTTCGCATGGTGCTTAACAACGCCCTTCAGCTGTTACTTATTCACGATACAGCACTTGTCTCGAGTACCTTATTGCTTTTATAAAAAATGGTAACCACACAATAAAAATATTAAAGTAAAAAAAAAAAAATGTAAAAGCCTTCCTTCCGCTAGAAAAAAATAGTCCCTGACCGTGAACAGCAATAACGTTCCAATGTGTGTAATATGCATGAAAGCTAAAATAAAAAAACAACAGGAACTGTAGTGTTGCGCAGTGATAAATAGAACCATTGGGTGAAGCGGTCACAGTCATGTTTTATCATGAATAAAGCACAGCTATTGACCAATCAGAATCAAGGATTGGAACTAACCGTTTTATGATTCTGCTTAATATTTTTGTGTAGACTGACCCCAAACTTTGGAACAGTAGTGTGTCACCAAATGACATCAGCTTCTGATTGGTGGATCTCATGTATGTTTGTTTGTTTTGTTTATTGTTAACAATTAATACATATGCAGTGAAAATTTGTACTTCCAGAACTCTACTTTTGCAGTTAATGTTTTGAAATATCAGACCCTGCAATCAGATTTTAAGAAATAAATTGGGTTTCTCTTCCAGTGTCAATAAGGCCTTCCTGTGCTTGATATTGATGCTGTCATTCATTTTTGTCTTTAATTTTATTTTTGAGTCAGCAGAGAGGTGATGGGGGTTGGGTGGAGTCAGGAAATGAGACTAGCAGTATTGGATCTCAGGTCAAATTCAGGTCACCTGCACAATCTCTGGAGCATGTGCACTACACTCTAGGTCACTTCTCCAACTGTGATGGTCTTATTCTGATACGGTGTTGTTGTATTGAGGCACTGTTGCAATAATTTACCTCCCTTTTCCTGTCTTTTGTCTTTGCAGAGGCAATGTCACTTGATGGATGGTTATGAGATTTAGCAGCCAGACGGGAGAACCATGGAACAGGTTGAGCAACCTACCTCAGAAATGAAATGTGATGGCCCATTAGATGGAGTCACGAAGGGCCAGTCGTCTCCACGGACAGATTTGAAGTCTGTCCCGATTCTTGAAGAATCAATATGGAAGGCAGTTCAGGAGGGTCATTCTGCATCCTTGGACTGTGGAGGGATGTCAGACATACAGGAGCCGGGCTCAGCTTCGGGTGAGGAGGTTGAAGGCAGCGAGACGTCAGATGCCACAGGATTAGCGCTCTCGCCCGGCAGCAAGGGATCATGGGGTGCGAATCTACAGAATGGAGACGGAACTCCGCAGGAGAGTCCTCAACAGAATAGTGACACTTCTGTAACAGGTAATCTTGTGGGTTTTCTGCAAATAGCTCTTTTTTATAGTTTCATCTGATCATAGAACATGTGTCTGACATCTGAATATGCTGGTGTTTGTTTTTGGATGAGAGCAGAGGATTTTTCTGGATACCCTCCAAAACAACTTGTGGGGATGTAGGTGCTGTTAGATCTTTTTTTGAGGCTTTCTGACCCCAAGACTTAAGTATGCTGCTCTGCAATTCTCCAGCTGTGATCCTTGGAGAGTCTTTGGCCACTCAAACTATCGTGCATTAAGACAATAATATAGACACGCGTCCTCTTCCTGGCCGATTTGTAACTTCTTAATTTTATTGCCCTGCAGTGGTGGAAACAGTAATAAAATATTCTACTCGTGTAAAAGTACTAGCACTTCAATGAAATTTTACTTAAGTACAAGTAAAATGTAGCTCATTTGAAATTTACTCGGAGTAAAAGTTACTGAGTTACTTTTTTAACAGCGGGAGTGGGGTGGGGAACTCTCCTGTATAGGGTTGTAATTATAGGAGATTTTCACAGTATGATAACATCTCAGAATATATAATGGTTTCCAGTATTAAATAATCAATTATTAAATAAATAAACGTTATTATTAAATTATGGTTATTAATATTATTATTATCATCTGTTAAATTGGTTGAACAAATGCTTTTAACAAACTTGAAACCATTTGTTAGTTTTGTTTATTCAAATTTCAGTAAAACATGTCTAATCAATTAAGTTAAATAATTGATAATGAATTAGATTAATAATAATTTATTAAAATGTTTAAGAATAATATAGTCCCATGAAATACATTTTATTCAGAAAATGATTTTCTTTTTATGATTTAATCTAAATATATTATCAAAAACGGTGGTGATCAAATGAACATTTAAACTTTAAACTGTCCTTTTATTTTTGTGGGAAGCGCTGCAAAAACAGATTTACTAAATGAAACCATGGACAAAAAATATATGGTTTAAATGGTTTAAATAAATTGTATTATTGTTGTTGTTAGAGTTTTCTTTCTTGCATTTCAATAGACAATTTGACTGATTTATGGCAGATTATACAATAATGAATAGTTAGTTAATGTTTTATAGTTTACTTTGTTTTCTTCATAAAACATATACTTTTGTAGTGCTCTCATAAGAGATGCTTTAAGTAGTTTCTCTCTGTTTCTCTCTCACTTTTATAGATCCATTACAGACACCCTCTCTCTCGTTGTCAGACCAGTTACGGCTTGGTCGAGATGACCCCAGTAGTTTGGGCCTGAACGTTGAGTGCCGCATATGTGGAGATAAAGCCTCAGGATTTCATTATGGAGTTCATGCTTGTGAAGGCTGCAAGGTAATTTTCCTGAAATTTTGCAACTACTGCAGTCAAGGTTTTTCACAAACCGTGGGAGCATTTATGGCCTAAAATAGACCATTATCTATTATAAACCAACAGTAAACTTACCGTAAGCGATAGGCCTACTACCTGACATATATTACTGAAATAGATATCCTGAGAAATAACACCTGTCTCTGTGACAGCCCCAGTTTCTGTAAACAGCCAATACATTTTTTTTTTAACCATTCAGAAATACAGTCTGTATGATGTGATTTCACTGACATAACTTCTTAGAGGGAGGCAGGGTGTGTGTTTCATGGGATGAGCCTTCTAATTAAAGTCTAAAATCTCTTTCAGCATCTTTAAAGGGGTCATATAATACCATTTTCAAGTTAATTTGATTTTTTAGGGTCTAAATGAAAAGTTTGTAATATACTTTAAAGGGACACTTCAACCATTTGCATTAAACTTTGTATCTTTAGAAACCCACTCATATTTTTGAATGGTCATGGTTTATTCCCTTATTTTCTCCTGAGATGGGACCAATAAGGATCTTAGTGTTTTACTTTCCGGTTATTATGCGTCAATTTGCGTCATAAGCAGGAAGTCACATTTCATTGAAAAGTGAAGAGACTACAAACTTAGCTCCTCATTATTCAAGGGTGTGGGACCCACTCATCCTACAGGCCTATAATGTGTTTCTTAGAGGTTGAATTCATATCAAAATCTGCCAAACTTCCCATACTACTTCTGAATAGGATGCCTACTTGAAAATTGTGGAAATAATGGTTCACTCAAAACGCATATGGAAATGGAAGTGCCCTTATTGGGCAGTAATGGAGTCTGGTACTGCGCCCAAACAAAATCTTACTGAACAACGCTAATTTTTTTTAGATAAATCCTAAACCAACCTTTTTTAGTTAATGATCTGTAAGAATAGATCTTTATTAATACCAGTCATTGATTCGAGTAACTTTTTTGACATTAGTGTATAAAGTGTTTTATTTCTACAATATATGGTGTAAAAACGTCTTAGTGCTGCCCTCTTCAGGTTGAACGGTGGCTACTGTAGTTGAATTTTCCTATTGGATGTTAGCGGTTCTTCGTGACGTAAGCATGTTTCAGCTCACCACGCTCTTGGTACAAGCTACGCTCTTGGCAGTATAAAAACCAGCTTGTTTCGTCAAAACCACTGTAGCGAGTCAGGAGTTGGAATTGCGAGTATTGAAACGATCAGGATAGAGTGTTTTAGCATCTATTTCGTCCCCTCTATCTCCGCTGGGGTCTGCCCACTTTTTCGGCATTTTTCAAATATTGCCAGTGGGTGGAGTCAGGCTCTGACCAGGCTCTGTTTCTTTACCTTTACTCACTGGGCTTCCTAATGCTCAGTTGCATTTCCATAGTGAAATAATTTAGCAATTCAAGCACATGTGTGCCTTGCTGTTTTTCAGTGAGTCATCTTTTTTTTTTTTAAGGGTTTTTTCAGACGCACCATTCGTATGAAGCTGGAGTATGAACGCTGTGAGCGTGCCTGTAAAGTCCTGAAAAAGAGCCGGAACAAATGCCAGTACTGTCGCTTCCAGAAGTGCCTGGCATTGGGCATGTCCCACGATGGTGAGAAGCCTACATGCTGCTCTTTTTACATTCACTTAAAAAGTGCAAACTTCTTATTGATAGTCATGCTCTTTTGGTGTACATAAATTGCTTTTTGAATATATGCTGAGCTTGTTTTTGTTTCTTTGTCTCAGCAATCAGGTACGGACGTATGCCAGAGGCAGAGAAGAAGAAGCTGGTGGCAGGGCTCCTCGCTGGGGAGAACCTGAAAAGCTCTAGTGGGGCTGACCTCAAAACACTGGCTAAGCACGTCAACACCGCCTACCTGAAAAACCTCAACATGACCAAGAAAAAAGCACGAAGCATCCTCACGGGCAAGACGAGCTGCACAACGGTATGCACTCAGCTTTTAGTAAGACGCCACCAACATTCTCATTTTATTTTAGTATATAAAAATTCAATATTATTTAGATGTTATTGTTATTTTTGAAGAATTATTGTTATTTGTTTTGTATTTTACACAAATGGCATTTTAGTTCTTTTTAATTGTGTTCTCATTTCATCTCCAGCCTTTCGTGATCCATGATATGGACTCGCTGTGGCAGGCAGAAAACGGGCTGGTCTGGAATCAGCTTAACGGAGCACCACCCAACAAAGAGATTGGGGTCCATGTCTTTTACCGCTGCCAGTGCACCACAGTGGAAACTGTGCGAGAGCTAACAGAGTTTGCCAAAAACATCCCTGGCTTTGTGGATCTCTTCCTAAATGATCAGGTGAGAACCATCCAGAGCCGCGTTTCCACTGCAATTACCAGGAACTATTTGTCCCAGGAACTTTTTTCACAGGTACTTTTTTTCCCCAGATGTTTACACCGCGTACTAAAGTACCGGTGCAGGGTGGGAAGATTATGTAGTGACGTTGAACTGCGTGCGACTGCTTTTTCGTGACAAAACGTGGTTTGTAGACAAGATAGAATCGTTGGGTGACAGAGTTGTTGTCGGCTCGTGTAGTGCGTTATCTCCTGTTGTTGATCAATCACGTTGTGTTGTGTGGTGTGAACAGCTCAACAACTTGAACACTCCTGATTTCACTGAGAGCAAGTCATGTAGTGTGAACCGCACAGTTCAGCCCGACGTTTTAAAATCATGTAGTGTGAACAAGGCATAAGCTTTAATTGGAGCGAATGGTGGGTGAGATTTTGAAGCCCAAAAAACTGCACCCATCCATCATAAAAATAATCCATATGGCTCCAGGGGGTTAATAAAGGCCTTCTGAAGTGAAGTGATGCGCTTGTGTATGAAAAAAATCCATATTCAACTTTTAACAGCTATAATAACTATTTGCAGACTAAACAGACAGTCTTTTGCGATTTGATGACGACACTAACCCTTAATGCACTTTCAATTTTAGTTTGACAGCAATGACGTAAAACACAACATTAAAGACGGTTTATGTTATTATTAGAAGTTTAAATATGTTTGGGCTGCCACAATCTAGTTAATGAATGGGAATCACTGAAATCTATTTGTGGAGGTCAATGTTGATATTGTGACGACACAAAAAAAAATCTATTTATTGGAAACAAATACCATAGTGAATCAGGGTAAGACAAATACACAGAAGAAGGTTTTTGAAGAAGAACTGATGTATTGAAATTTTGGTTATTTTAAACAATAGTTACATATTGTACCTTAATATTAAGTATTAATGCATACTCTTCCACTAAATTCGTCTCACATCCTTTCAGGTAACTGTTACTGGTTAGTTAACTCTGGTACTCTTTCAGGTAACACTTTTAAAATATGGAGTCCACGAGTCCATATTTGCAATGCTCCCATCTCTCATGAACAAAGACGGGCTGCTGGTGGCCAATGGGAAGGGCTTCGTGACGAGAGAGTTCCTGCGTAGTCTACGCAAACCTTTCAGTGAGATCATGGAGCCCAAGTTTGAGTTTGCGGTGAAATTCAATGCCCTGGAGCTGGATGACAGTGACCTGGCTCTGTTTGTGGCAGCCATCATACTGTGCGGAGGTAAGGCCATGCTGTTTGATTGACCAGCATGTTTTCTTATGTCCATTGTTGTTATTTATACAATTTACATCCACATCTGTATTTGTTATGAGGTAATATCTGGGAAATGAAAACACAACAAAGAGATAAACAAACACTTGTTTATCATAACAGGGTAAAAATAGCTAATGGAGAAAATGATGGCTAAAAGGGGTCTTTCTTTGCTCTAGATCGTCCTGGGCTGATGAACGTGAAGCAGGTTGAACAGATTCAGGATGGTGTCCTTCAAGCTCTGGACCAACATCTTCAGGTGCACCACCCTGACTCTTCTCATCTCTTCCCCAAACTGCTCCAGAAGATGGCCGACCTCCGACAGTTGGTCACAGAGAACGCCCAGCTGGTTCAGATGATCAAAAAGACTGAATCTGAGACGTCCCTTCACCCGCTTTTACAGGAGATCTATAAAGACATGTACTGAGCTTACAGACTCAAGGACCTTACTACAGAATGCTCTTCAACTTCCCTCCTGAATGGAGAGTGCACACACCTTTATGGCGCTGCGGTGCCATTGTTTTTTTAAAATGAATTTTTGTAAAGGACTTTTACAAATATTGACTTTGAATACTGACATTTTCTCTGGTTTTGTGGAGTGTTTTTTTTTATTTAAACTCAAATCTGTTCTTATAGGCCTATACAGGATGCAGAACATCTAGTCATTGTTTACTACTTCTACTAGCTTCATGTTATTCTTCATGTGCTCAATGAGGCTAACACATTATGGTTTTAGTTTTGCAAGTACATTTAAGTAATATCTAGGATGTTTCTTTAAGGAGATCAGAGTGCAGTCAAGCCCTTGAAATGCCACTTACTGTATGTGTTTAACTTAGTCGGGCTTTTATTTTTGTGATTGTCCTTGTCCACCTGATTCTGTTTGATTAGGCGCTTTTACTAAAGTAAAAGGTACTCCACACATCTGTACAGCAGTCAGGTATATTATTTTGGAATTATGTTACTTTCTTGAGGATGTTGTTTTCAGCGTCAGCTGCTACAAATATATATTGGTATTGAAAACTGAAGACATCTATGTTTATTAATTCACTTTAATTCTTTGGGATAAACATGCAAAAGTGTGATCATTTCGGTTCTATGGAAGGAAATGTTTTTTCACTTTGTTTATCATAATAATTATATATAAGTGCTGATCCCTTTGTTAAGCACTGGTACCTTAATGGTACTTATATTTTTGCATACTGTCCAGTAACGGTCGTATTTCATATTCTGGTCTTATTTACCGAATTGAGACACGACTTCAATTATGTTTAATTTCTCCTTGATACACAGTTGTATTAAATTAGGTCTTCCATTAGTATGTTGATTGAAAATGTTTATGATTATATATTGTGTGATTGAAAACAAACAAGCAGGATGTGGTTACATTAAGGTCTAGAACATTATGGTCAAATTGGTTTATAGTACTCAACTTAAATTCATTCTCTAAATCAGTCGCATTAATTAAGTTAATGATCATGTCTTGATGGTTATGTTTATTGAGTCAGTTTGAGGAAAACTTGTGTTTTATACTATAATTTGGAATATAATAATTTGGAAGTTAAAAAAGCAGTTTTAATGTTAAATTAACATTAATATGGAAGTAATATGATGTGCAACACATCTGCCGTTTCACATCCAGGAGTATCTCGGGAATATTTGAAATGTTATCTTATGGCTGATATTTGCTTTTCTGATCTGTTTATTCAAGATAGAACTTGATGTCAGAGATATATGGTCATGTAGAAACATGTTACTGTGAAACTAGAGCACACTTTTCAAACTTTTCTCCCTTCTTATTCTTAAAATGCATTTTGTCACCCAGTTTCACTCCAGACATCGGCCAATATCTTTCTACCTTTCTGGTCTGACCTGGCTCAGAAATTTCTTGCTTCATTAACAAGATCAGACATAATGTAGGCTACAAGTGTTATTGTTTGTGAAATATTATTTTGGATCAAAGTAAAACAATTCCTGACATCACTAAGTTTCTTGTGATTTATGAAAAGCTTTAGATATACCAATATTTCACTAGCGTTTTGCAGTCATAATAATCAAATATTAATGTTTAATCTTTAATGTATGGTTTAGCAAACTATTTAAAATGTGTGAATAATTATTAAACATTTTAATAAGAAACAATTCGTGTCAATGAATAATCCTTTAATTAGAGACCAAATGTCCCATTTTATTCGGTACTTATATTTAACAATTTACTTTACGTATATGGGCCTACTGCCAAGTCATAATAACGAATCGTTTTTTTTTTTTTTTTTTAAATGAATCGATTCAACCACTTCATAAACTAGTTTGGAATACTGAATAGTGGTCTCACTCTGAATGATTCGGACTGAAGCGGTCCTTGCGGTACTCGAGTGATATTGAATTGAGAACCGACTTATCAGAGCTGAGATATATAGAATTATTTATTAGCTATATAAAATTTGTATTAACCATAATAAAAGTTTATTTAAAAAAAAAGTATCTCGTGCGTGATGTCACTAAATTGACTTTCTGAACCCTTGCTGTTTAAAACACGAATTTACTGGAATTGATTTGGACCAGAGCCATGTATTCAGTACATGGCTCTGATTTGGACCATCACCAAGCATCACGTTTGAGAAGCGTCCCTGTCCATCACGTCCAAATGGGAGGCCCCTCCCAACAATTATAAAAGTGTGTATGTCATTAGCTATTCATCAGACAAAGAGGGACAGGCGCAAGATGGAAAGCGACGCACAATCACCCAAGGGTTCAGGAAACAACAGTGCAGTTTGCAGGTGGGTATGTTCACCAGCCCCAAGTATTTGCACTAGTGTGCAGATCAGTGCCTCTAAGCAAACAATTAGGATAAAAAACATATCAAGAAAAAATGCAGTGTTAATTTAAATTTAAATTAATTCTGCGATCAAGTGTCATTTGTTTAGATGTCAGCTGGCGAAGTGGAAGTTTTTTTTTTGTTTGTTTGTATAGAGAAGACACGGACGTCCCTGGTTGGCCAGCGCGCGTTCTGCGTGACGTGGGTCTCCTGCGCTTCACTCTCGCCAACTCTTCTATCCGTTTACTCGCTCAGACACTGAATAAATCAGTTTTTGTAGGCTTTAAAAATGGATCGGTATCGCATACCTTATAGACATTCGAGAAAAAACAGCTCAAATGTCGAAAGAGAAGTTTGCAGGTAGTTTTGTGGTTTAGATTGGATGAAAAGTTCGTTTTTAGCTCCGATCATCTGTTTGAAAGAGTGACTTTTCCTGCTTTAACGTTTCTCGGCGCTGATGTTTACATCCGGTTAAGGCAGCGAGCAGTTTCAAACTCCTAGTAGAGAGAGTAGTTCTGTTACAACAAACTATTACAATATACTTTTGTCCTAACACGTAAAGTAGAAGGAAAAAGACCGTTGTAAGATTAAAGTTACTGAACGTGTAAAGACCAACAGTTTGAGTTTACGTTTAGTGCCGTGGTCAATAACAACACGAACGATCGAGGGCTCAAAACGACTCCATTGTTTCCCCTTTTTGCGTTTTTTAATTAAATGCTGCTGCTTTTCGATCTTTTGTGAAACCTGTGTGCTGCAGTTGTCAACAAATGTTGTGTTTTGCAGGCAGTTCATCAATGGATCGTGTCGCTATGGTCCGAGCTGTTACTATCTCCACGAGTTTCCTGCAGCACCGTCATTCCAGGTTCATTGTAGGTACTTCCAGAAAGGTGGCTGCTGGTATGGTGATCGATGCAGGTAAGCACTCACTCAGCTGCCCTTTTTTTCAAATACTGTATATAAGAACAGCAGGATCCAAGATTTTCATCCTTCAAACTGCAGGTATCTCCATGTCCCGCAAGGGGGTGAGGGCTCTTCAGGGACCAACAGACGTGGTTCAGCTCCTGCCGTTTTCCCCTCTGCGCTCGCAGGCCGTTCTCTGCCTTACCGCCGGGGATCTGAGCCCTTTCTTCCTCCTCAAGGAGCTCACAGCCTGAATCGGAGGGGTTCTGAGCCCCTGGTCACAAGTATGAGTGTGCTGCAGCAGAATTTTGAACGCTTGACCACAGGAATTGCTGAGGAGGAAGAGTTCGGGGCAGTGGAGGATGTATCTCACCGGCAGGGTATTACTGTTTATCCAGTTTTTTTTCTTTGAAATTGCACATCACATTTTCCTTGTATTGTTTTAATTATGTTGTCCTCTACAGGGGCATCGAGACCTCAGCAACAAAGCGGTGCTACGCACTCCACTTCACATAATGCCTCAGCTGCCTTCGTTCCTGGTGCCGCACCTACTGAAGTCCAAGAAGTAATCACACCTAAATCTAAAACACTGGTTACAAAGCTGATGCTTTTTTGGGTTTCATCAGGCTGGGTTTAATGAAGTGTTATTGGATTATAGGTGACCAGTTCAAGTTTGCCAGAGAGACCAGATCAGGGTGGTGCTGGAGTGTCAACGGAGCAACGACATTCAGGGGATGTGGCTTGTGGCATCTGCATGGACAAGATTTCTGAGAAGACCACCGCTCAGGAACGGCGTTATGGCATCTTACCCAACTGCAATCATGCTTTCTGCATCAGCTGCATAGTTACCTGGAGAAAAACGAAGGACTTCCAGGAGGATGTCATCAAGTTAGTTTAGTCTCACTCCCTTCTCTCTTTTTCTTTTATGAATGTTTAGATTAACTAAGTATTTTCTTTTTAACAGGGGCTGCCCACAATGCCGAGTGAAATCCTCCTTTTACGTTCCCAGCAAGCACTGGGTCTGTGATGAGGAGGAAAAGGCATCGTTGATAGCCTCTTTCAAAGAAAGAAGCAGGTTAGACTGGTTCACATTCATGCTGTCAAGTCTTCTGTAATGGTTAATTTGACCCTTAATATTGATTGTGGAATTGTTTCTCTAGCAAATTAAAGTGCACTTTCTTCATGCGTCACGGATGCTGCCCCTTTAAAACGGAGTGCATCTACAGTCATGACATGCCGCCTAATCACATACACCGTCGCAGGCGCTCGACACACAGGGTAATCGTCTTTTTTTTTTTTATGGAAAAATGTCTGCTATGATGTCTTGCCATGCTATCAGTTTTCATCAATTTAATCTGTTTTTAGGACACAGCTGATATGTTGGAGGATTTGGGGATTGATGGCCTCCAAATTTGGAGCTACATTTTTGCCCTAACTCTGTTGGATGAAGACGATGATGACTTTCTGGATTTTCTTGATGACTAAGGACCTTCTAGAGTCATGTATATGTTGGCTCAGCCTTGAGTGAGCTCTGCTTATCTTCTGCACTGAAACGTAATTGTCCCTTTTAGGGTTGGTTTCTCTTTAGCTACCCCTACATGTTTGGCTAATTGTTTAGCCGTGTAGACTTAGTATGTGTGTTTCTGTATGAGTGTGAGGTCTTTTGCCTTAAGTTTAAGGAGGTTGGCGAAAAGGTTTGAATGCTCAGATCTCACATTGAGTCTGCATCTTCAGGTTTAGTTGGGGAAGGGACTATGGTAAAAAAAAGTTGAGGAAAAAAGTTAAAATCAAACGCATGGTCACTTATTTCAGCTAGCTTTTTCACTTGTTGATCTAATACTTAATCTGTGCTGCTTCCAGATTTCTGCACCCTCTTTGTTTGATACCTTTTGTATGAAATCAGATTTTAATATTGTGTACTTCCTAGTTTATATTATTGCCAGTATTCTTTCAAACACTAAGTGTGCAACCTGTCAGCAGGCTTTTGATGTACTGTTCAGCAGTGTTAACAGGTCATACCAAGTCTTGATGTCATATTTTATGACTTTTAGTACATGTTTGTATTCATTCAAAGAAAAGTGAAAATAAAAAATTGTTCCACTGTTTGCCTCACTTACTTGATCCTCTCCTTTTTTTGTGTGAGCTGCCAGTCATGTAGCAACAAATTAATTGAGGAAGGTGGAGGATTCATTAAATGGTTTTAACCTGTATTTTAACAATTCCGTTTTTAAACGGTTAATCCAAGGTATCAGTTTTTCTTTCAGAATGTCGCGAGCTAGGATTTTTTTTTATTTTTTTTTTGTAATACACCTCCAAACCTGCGGATGTCGCCTGTGTGCAATGAGTGCTTGTTTAGAGCCACAGAAAAAACTCATTCGAAACATTTCACACTAGTTTGTATCATGTTTCTGCTGTATCTGGGACCGCTACGATTTTAGTTTTAAAAATGATAGTAACTTAGCAAGCTTCGTCGTTGATCAGATGGATCGGAAAGCTCTAATGCGGCGTTTTGACGGACGGTCCCGGTTATTGATTCACGCTCTGCATCTAGGAGTAACCGGGGCGAATAATGCGCTGACAGTTTTCAATAAACAGCGCAGATGTGATCCAGATTTCACCCTTACTCCGTTTTTAGAGACTTTGTGCCAGGAGGAAGCATCTGTGCGCGAGGACGCACTGGTTCTGTAAGCAGAGTAAACTGTCTGAGTGTTAGGCTGTCATAAATGATCAGAAAATAACGTGGTTTTCCACTTTCTGTAAATAAATACCTATCAAAAAAAGGTTAACTTATAAAAAAAAATGTGCACAAATACCTACATTTGCACTTGTCAACAAGAGTTTTGTTTGTTTTACAGGAGACCTTTGGTGTGCTTGTTTTCTGAAGGCTTTCAGCGAAATCTGCTTTGCTTTCTCCATCTGATTCACCCCGGACTTCCTAAAGACCGTGTTCTCCATCTCCTTCACTGTCTGACTCGGGATGACAGGGAAAATCAGTGGGCTTATGCCTTAATCAAGCAGCTTCGAAGAGATATTGAGGGCACTAGGGAAGGGACCCTCCTCACCTCAAACTGCACAGAGACACTAGAGAGTCTCTGTGCGAGATTCAGGAATGCTAATGCAAAGGGAAGATGGGCCTCTTGTTTTGAGGGGCTTAAAACAGAGGGTAAAGAGACCGACATGTCCATGAAAAAAAGGAAAAGCGACAACATGGATCATGATGGAAATGCCCTGGAAAATCATCAAAGTAAAAGGGTAAAGGTGGATTACTCTCCAAGTAAAGATGAGAGCTTGACTGAAGAGGAGAAACAAAAAATGACAACAACACAGCAGAACCAGAGTGCTGCCTCTGGATCACAGGCTCATTCTGATCTGTTGGGGTCTTCAAAAAACCTGCCAGACAACATGAAGGTAAAGTGAAGTGCAGTTAAATGGATATTTAATACCTTAGTAAAATCTAATTTGAGTTAATCCATCAACTAACATGAACTAACAATGAGCAATATGTTGTTACAGTATGAATGTTCATGTTAGTTCAAAGTGCATTAACTAAAGTTAATAGATACAACATACAACCTTAAAATGTTTTAGTAATTGTTGAAAAATAAATATTAACTAATATTAATAAATGCTGTTCATTTTTAGGTCACTAATGAATCCTTATTGTGAAGTGTTACCATAATCTGGTCATGCATGAAAAAATAAATTATATATTCATGTTCTTGAATTAATGGGTGAATTTCTATCATTTTACATTCCATTTTATAGGCTGCCATTCCTGTGATTAAAGAATTACTGGATCCAGAGTCAGTGGTAAGATTTTTTTTTTGTGTGCAAATTTAACTGCTATAAATCATCCCATTTATATCATTTAAATTTTTTTCTTCACAGTGGGATGAGAGCTCTCTGTCCGCTCTGAAAGTATTTCATGAATGCGACTCCAATGAGGTTTGTGGTGTTTCAGTTGAAAATGAAGTACTTTTTGGATTTGTTCCTCCATAAATGCATTAGTATAAATGAGTTGTATCTGATCACAGGTGGAGGTATTGTGTTCACTGCTGGGTTTGTCTGAAGCATCTGAACAGAGTTTACCTCAGTTCTGTAGCTGCCTGTTGGAGCTTTCTCCAGACCTCAGTCACAGCACTGCTTCTGCTGTGATCACACACCTGCTGCTCGACAAGGTCAGTACCTTCATTTGCCATAGGTAAAAGATCTTACAATGATTTCAATCATAATATTGAGCCTCGGAACATCAATAAGTGAGTAATATATACACACACGAATACAGCATTGGTAACACACGTGTGTACAGCATTGGTAAAAAAAATAAAAAATAAAAATAACCAGTAAGATCTAAAAATCTTAAAAAATCGTAAAAATCGTAAAAATCTTACCCCCAAAACTTGGTTTGTTTCCTTTTATGATTCGTACAGAAACACTTTAATATAATTTGTAGGTGTTATGATTTAAATACTTTTATTTTATATTTGATAATTGCCAGAATAAAAGCTTAGTCACACTTATATTTATGTATTTCTCTGTCTCAGATTGTGTCCCTTGCAGAAGCTGCCTCTCGTTGTTTGGTATCAGTTGCAACGTCTCTTTGCACTCGTTACCCCAGACCGACCTGCCAGGCGCTGATAGAGCCAATTTTACGGAAGGGACAAACTGGTATGATTTTTTTTAAATTTTTTTTACCTGAATATCAAAGTTAGCATGCATTTTGTTTGTTTTAGACCTTTTTCATTTAACCCAATTGTATGTTTTTTTTTTAGGAAGCGCCCAGGCAGAGTTACTCTGTAGACTGGTAGTGGACTGCCTTGAGCCACATCACAGGCTTCTTGTATTTCGGTCAGTCTGAACAATTTAACTGTCAGAAAGAAATTGATGGAATATACCATGTTGGAGTAACTTAACAGGTTGACAGAGTTTTACTAACTATAGAAATTTGCATTCAAATCTTAGGACAATACTTGGAGTGTCCTGGGATGAGGGTGTGTTATCAGTCATCCATGCATTGTTGGATTCAAAGGTACTTCAGAAATCTTTTTTGAATCTTAAACGATGGTTTAGTCCTATCTTAATGGTTTCTGTTGTAATGCTCACAGCTTGATCTGAGTGAAGAGGATTTCTCTCTCTTCACCGACCAGCTTTGCAAACAGTCTCCACATTTTAGCAAATCTATGAAGTTTGCCAAGATGTTGCTGAGTGTCTTGACCAAATATCAGTCACATGTGAGTATAACTGTAATATGGAAATTGAAAAACACCTGACCATAGCCTTCAACCACACCAGTATAATTAGATGGTCCTTGGCATTATTAATACTAAGAAACATAATTATTCTCCATACACAAATTACTAAGGCATATGATATTAACTAATAAACATCACATTAATATCTACATGTTATTTTTTTTTTAAAGCTAGTAAAACTGCTAATTAATAAGGTTTTTTTTTTTCATTTCAGGTGAATTCTTCATGCCACCATACACTTTCCAGTTGCCTGTCTTTCAATGAAACCTTCCTCAAGAAATCATTGCAGGCTGCATTAAAACGGATTTCTCTTTGAAACATACTATTCTCATGTTAAATGGCACTTGACTTTCTTTTGATCTGATTGTATTATTTTGTAAATAGATTTTGTAAATGTAATAAAAATGTATAATACTGTATAGGTTTTTTTTTTTTTTGGGGGGGGGGGGGGGGGATATAAATTTGCAATGGGTTAATTTCCATATGTAATTTTCAGATTATTTATAAAACTTCATATTTTCAATTAAATCTTAATTTGTATTATTTAAATGCTTTGTACTGGAGACATTTGAATGATTAAAGATACATTATTGTGATATGTTTATAAATTAAAATATATATATATATTTGTTTCCATCGTACTCATTTTGTTACATTTATTGTTATTGTAAATGGCGAACAGACTCATTTGACACTTTACAAAATAATAGTTTGTGAAATGTAAAGTTTTCTCTTATGGTGTGGCCACAACAATCATGGCGGCTGCGGAAGTCCTTTATTCACATCTGGCGGCGCATATATTCAGCGCAACTTCCCTTCATCCTTCCTTTTTCCGAGCTCCGTGTGAAAGGAGAGACATCACGGCAAAATGAGGCACGTGAGAAATATTCATATATATTTATATATAACGTGTTTAATTCCACATTAATTTATATTTCACTGTTTAATGGGCACATGAGCAAATATATCATCAAGCATAGCCAGTCAGACATTGTAACATTTCTTGACAATCTCAAACAAGCTTGAGAGATGCCACGCTGTTTAGCGGGCCATCTGCAATGCAATCCGGTTTAATCTGCGGATTATTTAACTTCATCTAAAATTATAATTATTTTGACAGCTGTTATTTATCGGTAACATGATTTATATTGAAATATTGAAGTGTTAAAACACTGTTTGGAGGTATGTTAATGATGTATTCACTGGTCAATCATCTTACGCAGTCATCGATACATTATGTGCTCGTGACACTCAGAAGTAAACTGTAGTCATGCAATTAATCATATTTTTGTATTTTTTAACAGCAAGGTCTCGAGAGACACTTTGTACGAGGCTGTTCGGGAGGTCCAGTCTGGTTCCCGTCGTAAGAGGAGAAAGTAAGACTCGGACAATGTTGTTTTTCCTAGCCACTGACGTCTAAAAAATGTTGTAGTGCAGGCTATTCGCATTATACTTTTAACTTTTTTCGATTATTTATGTCGCATTCATTTTTTTTTTAAGAAGCAAGTATTTTAATGGTGAACAGTGCGTTTCAATACTTGGATTGTGGAGAAACTGAGATTGGTGCTAGTATCCTATTCATCATACTTAATGACCGTATTATATTGTACTAGTAAAGCTTGAACATGGGTTATAGCTAAGTTATTGTTCTTAGTTAGCCAAGTATGTAGTACTACCTAATGAGTAAAGTTGGCAACTACTGATATAATGGGTAGCAACAACAGTTGGAATTCCTTCATGTTGGAATGTAAAGTTTATATCCAGTAGTAATGTCTTGTCACTATTGGGATAGGGATTTGTTTCAAAGCAACTAGTGCTTTTGAAAGGTAACTTCTGGTGAACAGATGTTGGATTACTTGATAGTTAGATATAGATAGATTACAATTAATTAAATGGAATAATTGTTTAACCTATTGCTATAATGTGTAGAAATAAGCCTCTGCCTAAACTGTATTTTAGTTAACACCACTATGTGACCGTTACTTGCATATGGGATATTTATAGTGTCTTTTATATTTAAGGTTTCTTGAGACTGTGGAACTGCAGATCAGCTTGAAGAACTACGATCCCCAGAAGGACAAGCGTTTCTCAGGCACCGTCAGGTTCGGACCTTTACTGTATCACCCAGCCTTCCCACTGCTTGCCCTTTGATTTGCCTTAAATCTCTGACTTTCTTTAATGGATTAGTTATCCACTTGATTAAATTGCATGAGCGGGCAAGTTAAAGGCAGGCGTTGGAGAACAGTCTCGGGTAGTCTGTCTGAACCACCCATTCTCAGGGTTGGTGAAGCAGGCGGACCCCTACCCTGGGTCTTAAAACATGAGGGGAGGCTATAGGTGACTGCTTTCATGCAGTCATACCTAAGCCGACCATTTTGTTAAATGCCTGTGCAATCAACACCTGATGCCAGCTCAGGTGGTATGGGTAAGACTCTTCTGATCTGCATCACATGGGTCGAAAGGGGTCCGATATGCTTATGCTTTGTCTGTCAGTCTAATCCGTCACTCCTCATAGGCTGAAGACTACCCCACGCCCCAAGTTCTCTGTGTGTGTCCTTGGTGACCAGCAGCATTGTGATGAAGCCAAAGCCGCAGAGTTCCCACACATGGACATCGAGGCTCTTAAAAAGCTTAACAAGAACAAGAAAATGGTCAAGAAGCTGGGTGAGTTTGCTCTGAAGATTTGCGGTCAACAGCACATTAGCTAGAAGACATGCATGTGCTATATCGCTCGTTCTGTATTGAGTCTACATATTGATTTTGTGGTTCTTTTTAGCAAAAAAGTACGACGCTTTCCTGGCCTCCGAATCTCTGATCAAGCAGATTCCTCGTATCCTGGGACCTGGTCTTAACAAGGCAGGAAAGTTTCCTTCTCTGCTCACCCATAACGAGAACCTGATCACCAAGGTGGATGAAGTAAAATCCACCATCAAATTCCAGATGAAGAAGGTATGTTTATTCATGAAATCGTATCACTTTTTTTTTACTCCATGCATTAGCGTTCAAAAGTTTGGGCGGCCTTTTCTTTTTTTATTTAAAGCTTTTTACCACATTGATCAATTGATAGTTTAGCTGTTCTTTGGAACTTTCTTTTCGCCAAAGAATCCTGGGGGGAAAAGTGCTGTTTCCATGAAGCAGCACCACCATTTTTAACATTGTTCAGAAAAGTTTGAGCACCAAATCAGCATATTAGAATGATTTCTGATAGATCATGTGACACTGAAGACTGGATTAATGATGCTGAAAATTCAGCTTTGCCATCACAGGAATACATTACCTGTTATTTTAATCAAACTGTATTGTTCATGAAAATAATCCGAGAACAAAATAAATCGCATGCTCTGAAGCTGAAGAGAATGAACACTGGTAAACTGAAGTACTTTTCTAGCAGGTTGTTTCAATCAGCGAAATCCATCCTATGTGCGATTGATCAGATAGTTTTTATTACATAAACTTAATTACGATATCTGCACAAAATGATGTGAATTCACAAGCTAACTTGACTGCTGGTCAGAACGTGTAAACCCTGTTCTGTGCGCGCTATTTCCACATCACGCTGAAATGGCAACTAAACCCAAAGAATTCACAACGGTTTATTACAATAGTGTTTTCTTTATAATGGCATGTATATGATAAATGTGCATTTGCTGTTCGAGCTTTGCACGCTAAAGTTAAAGATGTCGCTGGTACAAGTAAGCTCTTTAGGTTACTCAAATTAACGCATCCTATGTTAGATTAATTGGATATATATTCACAAAATAAACATTACAGTTTACAATGGCACAATTCTTAAGCGAACTTGACTGTGCTCGTCATGAAGGCTAAACTTCATAGATGCACTCTTTTCGCCACAACGCGCTCGTCGTGATGAAACACTGGCAAACAGGAATTCTCAGTTCTTTTACAGGTGTGTTATAATGTTATGAAGCCTATGTGACAGATTTGTGCTGCACATGTTTTACTGAACTATATTTTCCTTTTCGAAGTGATTCCAATCGTGGCAAACAATGCCCATCTCTCAACTCAAGTAAATCGTATCTATTGGCTTTGATATATTGACCTAATTTTGTTATCATATCAATAACTATAACAAAAAAATGACCATTTGTCGGCTGATATCATCAATATGGGGTCTGTATTGTGCATCCCTAAAATATAAATTGTTTATTTTAAATTTTGGACGTGCATAGTATTGTTTCGTATCTTCAATCAAATGTATGCAGCCTTGATAAACAAATTATTATTATTATTTTTTGAGATTGTACTACCCCCCTACATTGTACATGCTGATGTATTTATCCAACTGGGAAAATTGGGCTTGAGTTTATATCTGTCATCTGTCTTGTTCAGGTTCTGTGTCTGGCTGTGGGAGTTGGTCATGTCAGGATGACTGAGGAAGAGCTGGTCTACAACATTCACCTGGCTGTGAACTTCCTGGTGTCTCTACTGAAGAAGAACTGGCAGAACGTCAGAGCTCTCTACATCAAGAGCACCATGGGAAAGCCACAGCGCCTCTATTAGAGACTTTGTTCCATCATTTTTCCATAAATAAATGTGGAGTTGGTCCAAATCTTGTCTTGTCTTAATGTGTCATTCATGATCTTTAAAATAAATTGAATCTGTGCAATCTGCACCTTGTGCTCTTTTGCAAAACATGGGATCAAAATATCTTGTCCAACTTAAAAAAATAGATAAAGGTTTTTAGCTTTTTTTTTATTTTTTTTATTATTATTTAAAAAAAAAAACTGATTTGGTGCGAAAAGCTGCATGTAGTTCACAGAAAAAGCTTGATTATAAGAGGCTCCATGCATGCAGTAAGTTTTTTCAGTTGTTTTGTAGTGTTGAATTTTTGTGAATGGCATTGTCATACTAGTATATGTGGCAGCCATGACATGTCTGAAACAGCCTTAGCCTCATCTATCTCTTAATAAGATTATGCAGTGTCTGTCAGGAGTAGGAAGCGGAGAGCAAGAAATCACGGTAAATGTCATGGTAAGCAAGCGTTTGTCTTCATTTACCATACTTTGATTCATTGTGGTTACCTTGAAACCGAGCAGTAAATCTGTTGTCCAAATCCAATTATTGTGGCCTGAATGAATCTGTAATGTTGGAGAGCCTTTGTTTATAGATGACAAGAATATGTAGGCAGAATGTCAGATCTTTATTTGTAGAAACCTTGGTGTTAATCGTACTGATTCTCCATGTTGCTGGAGAAATAAGAATCCACGTTAGTTGAGCTTCTATAGTCCGAATATAGTGTAGACAATTACAGTTCTTAATTATTTTGCAACTAATATGCAGATAAGTTGATTAGATTTTCATTAACTCAGGTTGAGATTTAAAATGGCAATCAAATCCATTTATTAATAGTGTTGGTTTTTTTTTTGTGTGTTATGTTTTTTGCTTACTATGTATTA